AAAAAAGCATGACGTGTGTTGATCATAGTCAATGTAAAGTAAAAACACTTGGCCCCCTGGCATTGGTTTTAGCAAGTCAGTGTTTGCAAGGAATCAGCTACAATACACTTAAGATGAAAAGGGTTGCTTAACACACAACACCTGTTGTGATTGTAAACATTTTGGAGAAAAAAAAAACAACAAGAAAACAATCCAATTAAAGTGAATAGTGAGGAGAAATAGCTTTTTCAGTAGCCTACTTCTTTAAATCATTCAATTGTTCAGCATTTTGTATTTAGATGATACAAAAGTCTACAAATATAAATAACTTAAAACAAACCTTTTCTGTGCTAGCAAAATAAATAATATACTCCTCAACACAGAAATCAGAATATATTGATTATTATCTTTTGAAATTGATATCCCTTTAACACTGAATTTACTGTTTCAAATATAAAGCATGCATAGCAAGTACATTGTTAAAATTCAGCATGAAAAATATGACATACGTTCACACTGTGGCGGCTGGTTAGACCATCTCCCGGATGATGTACACTCCGAGACAAAGCGACATTTTGCTTCGTACCCTTTCTCGCACATATATGTAACTGCACTTTGATATGTGAAACTTAATCATTCATGAAAAAAGAAAGCATGAATACTGAGATATTTTTGAATAAGTTTGACTACAATAACGCAAGTTGCTGGTTCAGTAAAATGATGCTCCTTAAGGGTGAATTAATGGGAAAAAATCTTTATATATGCCTTTCTTAAATTGACTGGAAAGCACTAACGAGATTTAAAAAAAGTATAATGCAAATGGCTAAAATAATACACTTTGTAATTATTATTTGCATACTTCCAACTGTTTTAATGTTATAAAACGTGTAAATATGGATTGTAATTAGTCGGATACCTGTCTCCACTGACTACCACGTGGTTGCCAAATGGTGGTGCACCACAATGTACTAACTCGCATGTAGGAAGCTTTCCTTCCCAATGCCCTGAGATGCCACAAACTAAAGAACTCTGTCCAGATAATGTGTAACCTTCGTCACAGAAATAATCCGCTGTCGATTCGTACAATGTTCCGACAAATTTCCGGCCGCCGTTTTGCATTTTTGGGGGATCGTAGCAATTACGACGTAAGCATGCTGTCTCGTCTTCATCATACTGCCATTGCTTATTTGCCATACACCTTGCTGTTGCACTTCCGGTTAAGTAAAATCCGTCATTACACATGAACGTAACTTCCCTATTGACATAGGCTCCCATTGGCATACTTGTGGAAGAATGGGGAAACACTGGTGGTGGACCGCATGTCACAGCATGACATTCCGGTCTATCGCCTGTCCATGTCCCGTTGTATGAACAAGTCAGCGTTGGATTTCCGGAGAGTTCAAAATTTGTAAAACATTCGTATGTTACGGTCGATTTATAGAAATAGTAATAACCGATGTAAAAAGCATTGTCAATAGATGGCGGAGTCCCGCATGAAATTGGCTCACAGACGGGAGTTTTGCCCGACCATACACCAGTAGCTTGGCATGAAGTCGTCCCTTGGCCGATAAGTGTAAAGCCTACATCACAAGTGTATTGAATAACACTTTTGAATGTGTAATTTTTTGAATCAATTTTAATAGATTTTGGAACATACGGTGGCGGACCGCAATCTACCGGTACACATTCAGGTGTCGCTTCAAGCCAGTTTCCATTCTTTTCACAAGTTATTATTGATGAACCTTTTACTCTGTATCCAAGGTCACACAAATACTGAGCCTCGCCTTTAAAATTGTACGACGCAACAGAAACTTTGCTGTTTGGGACTTTCATTGGTTCCCCGCATTGCACCAACGAGCATGTCGGTATAAAACCTTCCCATGTACCAGATGCGGAACACGTTAATGAACTGTCTCCAGCCGACAATTCATATCCAGTTTCACAAACGTAACGTGCTTTAGAATTCAATAAATATTGTGTTAGGGCATTAAAAGGAATTGCATGCTCAACAAACGGTGGCACTGCACATAAAATCAATCTACAATAGGGATCAGAGCCACTCCATGAGCCATCTTTCTCGCATGTCCTTTGGCCCGGCCCTTGAAGTCTATAGCCGTCATTACATCTGTACGTCACAATTGATCCAACTCCTGACCCTGTTTCACTGGCCAATCCATTTGTTATTTTAGGTAAGTCAGGACACCCGGATATCACACAGTGTGGCGGCTCACTTTCATAATCCCAGTCGCCATTAGGGCCGCACCTTGGTCTTGCTTTTCCTACTAAGTAAAATCCTTCGTTGCACTGGATTTCAAGTTCATTTCCAAAATGAAACCCATTTCCTATAGCTCTGCCATAACGAACATCCGGAAATGCAGGACATGTGACAATTTCACAGACAAAATTAGATTCTGACCATTGGCCATTAGCTTGGCACCGTTGAGAACTCACACCAATACCACGATAACCTTCCTCACATGATAACGAGGCTGTTACTTCGAAACTTCCTTCTTTTTCCCCGCCTGGTATGTCGTATACAACATTGCGCTTAACAGGTGGGAGACCACAGGTTATTTGGATACAAGTCGCATCATCACCTCCCCATTTACCATTAGAGAGGCACTTACGTTGTGCTTGTCCCACAATTTCAAAGCCTGTGTTACAATGATATTCAATTATGTCTTCATAAAAGAAATCATTCCCACGGAAGAACCCATTATCAATAGGCGGTGGATTGTCACATTTAACTTTCTGACAGTATGGATCACTACCTGACCACTCATATGTCCCCAAACAAAAACGAACATCTCTTCCGATTAGTTCGTACCCTTCGTTACATGTGTAAATTATATTTATGCCTCGTGAATAATTCCAGACATAGTAACGCCCATTTTGTAAAGGTGGAGGCATGGGACATTCGTTTCTGAAACATTCCGGTTCTTTTCCGGACCATTCTCCACTGTCCTTACATGTTCTAGTGTTCGGGCCATCCAGAACATACCCGGCGTTACATAGATATATAAGTTTGTTACGCATGGGAGTATCATCCCCACGACCAATAAGTTTTTAATTAGGCTCAGGTATCGGAACATATGATTAAGGACAGTTTGTGACGAAACCTGACCCATGAACCGTCAGCCGGCATCGTCGTCAGTTTCGTTATTTCTATAACGCTTCGTCGCATGGTACTTTATGTTGCCACAATGAGAAATCTTGCACAAGCGTCTGAGTATTTGCTGGAACAAACGGTAGAAAGCACGTTTTCTTATCACAAAATACTTTTTGAGATATGCATGAACAAGTTAAAAATTGCAAAGTAAAGGGCAATAACTGTAACAAAACAAAATTCCACATGCAAAACCCCAGGTACATAGCTTCAAAGTGATGTTGATCATTATTCCTGTAAGGTTGGTTGAACCTAACTAAAACACTCACGAAACAAATAACACAACATAATGGGACTTTTTAATTAGTCAAGGTTAATAACTCTAGAAATTCTGGATAAATACACAAGCAAATCCCAAGGTGAACAACTACACATGCTGATCAACATTCCTTCTAAGTTTCATGAACAAATACGTTTTGAGCTACGCACGACACAAATTGAAAATTGCAATTTTTCATCAAGTCAAGGGCAATAACAATGAGAAAATAGAAAAAAATCTACAAGCGAAAGCCAATGTGCATAACTTCACATGCTGACCAACATTTCTGTAAAGTTTCATCACTCTTGGTCAAACGCTTTTTGAGCTATGTGCGACGCAAGTCGAAGATTGCAAAGTTTACTAAGTCGAGGGTAATAACACTGACAAAACAGAATAAACCCACAAGGGAAAACCCAGGTACACAACTTCCCGTGCTGAAGAATATTCCTGTACATTTTCATGACCCTAGGTTAAATACTTTTTGAACTATTGAACTACGTGCGACACAAATTAAAAATTGCATTTTTTACTTAGTTAATGCCAATAACTCTGAATAAACAGAAAAAATCTACAAGCGATACACCAGGTGCACAACTTCATATGCTGAGAAACATTTCCTTCAGTTTCTGAAGTTGACACTAGGTCAAAACATTTTTGAGCTAAGTGCGACAAAAGTTGAACATTACAATTTTTTACTACGCCAAGGGCAATAATTCAAGGGCAATAACTCTACGAATACTAAATCAATCCAAAGAAAATGCCCAGGTGCACAACTACACATGCTGATCGACATTCCTGTAAAGTTTCATGACCAAAGGTCAAATATTTTTTGAGCTACGTGCGACACAAGTTGAAAATTGCAAAGTTTTACTAAGTCGAGGGCAAAAACTCTGACAAAACAGAAAAAAATCCACAAGTTAAAGCCAGGTGCACAATTTTAAATGCTGAGCATCATTCCTGTAAAGTTTCATGATTCTAGTTCAAATACTTTTTGAGCTACGTGCGACTCAATTTGAAAATTGCATCTTTTATTAACTGCCTATGATGTAAAATATAAGAACAATATATTTTCAATTCATCAATTTTACTGACTTTGTACTTTAATACTTAATTGTTATAATAATACTTAATTGTTACAATAAGTAAAAATAAAAATTATAACTTAAATGTTGGAAAGTGCATAAATAAACACAATTATTTGATATCTAATATGATTCAATTGTACAATTATCTGGCAATGAAATATAAAACTGTGAAATGCTTATTGGATAGAATTCAGGCACTTTTTAGGGGCAAATTATTTTTTTTTATCTTATCTTATGGTTGTTTAAGTTAAAAGTAATGATTTTAAGCGTGAATAACTTTAAATACATTAAAGAATTAATATGCTTAACCCATTATCTCTATTACCTTCTCAAACTGAGATTTACATAAGTTCTATATAAATGATATATTTTATTCGGGAAATAAACATATATATATATATATATATATATATATAGAGATATAATGGTGATATGTATGAAATGTGGATTAAGTATTGATAAATGTTATTGGGACACTTGAATACTTAAACTGATATGGATATTAACAAAAAGATAAGAAAATCTTTCACTTTTCTTTTTCATGCATTGTAACATATGCAACATGGTTATTTTTATTAGTTTACAATGCATGCAAAAATATTTTAGTTTTCTTTCTTGCTTTTTGTACTTCTTGTGATGAAATTTATTGCACCAACATCCGGGAAATACGGAATTTACGTTTTCTACTTATATTTTGTCTTATGTCATTTACCCTGGGGCTCTTTTATTAGCAGGGTACTATATAAAACACTACTACAAAGCATGAATGGTTTTTGACACTTTAATCTTCTGTAAATGTTTTCTACTCATGTATGACATTTCCCAGTTCAGAAATAAAAAGATGCTGCAAATTTAATGCAGGATGGCAGAAATATGGATAAATATTGATGTGAAGTGATGATATGGATTTTAAACCAGTTTTTAATAATGAGATTAGAAAATTCACCTTCAGAGACAATAATATCATTAGAAGTTGGCGGCCTAGCGGCCTGGCGGCCTAGCAGCCAAAAATTTTAATGTTGTAAAAATGTTTTTTTTAACAATAAAACGGCATTTAATGAAGTTTTAAAGATAATTATTGTTATTTAAACGATATATCTAAAGAAAAAATCACTTTCAGAGATTTTTTTAATTTTGTCATTTTTGTGAAGTTGGCGGCCTAGCGGCCTGGCGGCCTAGCAGCCAAAAATTTTAATGTTGTAAAAAATTTTTTTTAACAATAAAACGGCATTTAATGAAGTTTTAAAGATAATTATTGTTATTTAAACGATATATCTAAAGAAAAAATCACTTTCAGAGATTTTTTTAATTTTGTCATTTTTGTGAAGTTGGCGGCCTAGCGGCCTGGCGGCCTAGCAGCCAAAAATTTTAATGTTGTAAAAATGTTTTTTTAACAATAAAACGGCATTTAATGAAGTTTTAAAGATAATTATTGTTATTTAAACGATATATCTAAAGAAAAAATCACTTTCAGAGATTTTTTTAATTTTGTCATTTTTGTGAAGTTGGCGGCCTAGCGGCCTGGCGGCCTAGCAGCCAAAAATTTTAATGTTGTAAAAATGTTTTTTTTAACAATAAAACGGCATTTAATGAAGTTTTAAAGATAATTATTGTTATTTAAACGATATATCTAAAGAAAAAATCACTTTCAGAGATTTTTTTAATTTTGTCATTTTTGTGAAGTTGGCGGCCTAGCGGCCTGGCGGCCTAGCAGCCAAAAATTTTAATGTTGTAAAAATGTTTTTTTTAACAATAAAACGGCATTTAATGAAGTTTTAAAGATAATTATTGTTATTTAAACGATATATCTAAAGAAAAAATCACTTTCAGAGATTTTTTTAATTTTGTCATTTTTGTGAAGTTGGCGGCCTAGCGGCCTGGCGGCCTAGCAGCCAAAAATTTTAATGTTGTAAAAATGTTTTTTTTAACAATAAAACGGCATTTAATGAAGTTTTAAAGATAATTATTGTTATTTAAACGATATATCTAAAGAAAAAATCACTTTCAGAGATTTTTTTAATTTTGTCATTTTTGTGAAGTTGGCGGCCTAGCGGCCTGGCGGCCTAGCAGCCAAAAATTTTAATGTTGTAAAAATGTTTTTTTAACAATAAAACGGCATTTAATGAAGTTTTAAAGATAATTATTGTTATTTAAACGATATATCTAAAGAAAAAATCACTTTCAGAGATTTTTTTAATTTTGTCATTTTTGTGAAGTTGGCGGCCTAGCGGCCTGGCGGCCTAGCAGCCAAAAATTTTAATGTTGTAAAAATGTTTTTTTAACAATAAAACGGCATTTAATGAAGTTTTAAAGATAATTATTGTTATTTAAACGATATATCTAAAGAAAAAATCACTTTCAGAGATTTTTTTAATTTTGTCATTTTTGTGAAGTTGGCGGCCTAGCGGCCTGGCGGCCTAGCAGCCAAAAATTTTAATGTTGTAAAAATGTTTTTTTAACAATAAAACGGCATTTAATGAAGTTTTAAAGATAATTATTGTTATTTAAACGATATATCTAAAGAAAAAATCACTTTCAGAGATTTTTTTAATTTTGTCATTTTTGTGAAGTTGGCGGCCTAGCGGCCTGGCGGCCTAGCAGCCAAAAATTTTAATGTTGTAAAAATGTTTTTTTAACAATAAAACGGCATTTAATGAAGTTTTAAAGATAATTATTGTTATTTAAACGATATATCTAAAGAAAAAATCACTTTCAGAGATTTTTTTAATTTTGTCATTTTTGTGAAGTTGGCGGCCTAGCGGCCTGGCGGCCTAGCAGCCAAAAATTTTAATGTTGTAAAAATGTTTTTTTAACAATAAAACGGCATTTAATGAAGTTTTAAAGATAATTATTGTTATTTAAACGATATATCTAAAGAAAAAAATCACTTTCAGAGATTTTTTTAATTTTGTCATTTTTGTGAAGTTGGCGGCCTAGCGGCCTGGCGGCCTAGCAGCCAAAAATTTTAATGTTGTAAAAATGTTTTTTTAACAATAAAACGGCATTTAATGAAGTTTTAAAGATAATTATTGTTATTTAAACGATATATCTAAAGAAAAAATCACTTTCAGAGATTTTTTTAATTTTGTCATTTTTGTGAAGTTGGCGGCCTAGCGGCCTGGCGGCCTAGCAGCCAAAAATTTTAATGTTGTAAAAATGTTTTTTTAACAATAAAACGGCATTTAATGAAGTTTTAAAGATAATTATTGTTATTTAAACGATATATCTAAAGAAAAAATCACTTTCAGAGATTTTTTTAATTTTGTCATTTTTGTGAAGTTGGCGGCCTAGCGGCCTGGCGGCCTAGCAGCCAAAAATTTTAATGTTGTAAAAATGTTTTTTTAACAATAAAACGGCATTTAATGAAGTTTTAAAGATAATTATTGTTATTTAAACGATATATCTAAAGAAAAAATCACTTTCAGAGATTTTTTTAATTTTGTCATTTTTGTGAAGTTGGCGGCCTAGCGGCCTGGCGGCCTAGCAGCCAAAAATTTTAATGTTGTAAAAAATGTTTTTTTAACAA